TGCGGTTTTAGGGTAGTCCCCACTTGCATGAAGTTCATAACAAATTTCATGGAAACCGTCCAGTCATTCTCGAGTTAAATCATACGGAAATACACGACCATTCATTCCTATATGCGTTCATATCACGCACATCATGCAACGAGCCTATTAATACAATAAGGAAGCAATCTGCTGCAGTAAGTTGGCAGAACTGATGAACGGCCGTGAATGCCGTAGTGCGTAAAATAGATTACGTATCTGTGGATGTAATTATGAATTAATTGGAATTGGAAACCATACCATGATGGGAGCATGATTCACAGATCCTGTTTTTCGAAGACAGACACTGACAGTTACTTGACGACATTTGTCGTATTCAGGCGATAGCAGTTTCAACACTCTTCATTATCGATCATTGCAGAGATTTGACTGACAGGCAGAGATAATCACCATGGCCGCCTGGATATCTCTCCTAGCAGTAGCGCTTGTTGCACTGTGAATTCCTGGTGGTGAGCTTCGACAATGTCCAAGATCAAGGAAGGTGTTAGTATCGGCAGAAGTCGATATAAAACAGGGTGATAATCGATCGGAAAAAGAGAGAGCTGGTCAATGGAATCACACAGAGCAGAAGTGGGCTCTTTGTCAGTAAGTAAACCATAATTTCATGCAAGGAATAGAATCACAAATTGTACGATATATTTTCGATTATGGACATTTAATTTATATTTTGTACATACCTTTGCAGTGGTTTTGCATAAGTTTAGGTACACTTTGATTCCAGTAACGGCAAATTAAAATTTGTTATATCGAGCTTATATGGTGTGGTTGAATAATATTCCCATGGGCAAAGGACTGTTCTCAAGAGTTACATTATATTTTGCCTTTCAATAGTTACTTTCGAGAGCAGCGTGGAAGTTGCAACATTGTAGGTCACTGGAAAGATGTACTGAAGTCCCTCTCATCTTCTGTTCATAGGATAACGAGATGGATAATATTATTGCCAGGTATGCCTAAAATATTTACGTTCGTTCAGGCGTTACCAAAAGGGACGCAAAAATTATTTTACGTTAGATTTAATTCTAAATTTAACCAAATAAATCAATTTATGGTTACAAAGGCAAATTGATCATAATAGTAATACGATGAAAATTTAAAAAAAGAGTACAAACTGTCATGGCCCACAAACGAGCTGCTTAAACTATTTCTCATTTGTAAAATCTGAACATAATTCACTAGTGTAATAAGCTTCTGTTTTTTGGTACATTCCTGTAACTGAGTATTGTATCATGTTAGAACAGAAGATGGCTGTCTTCTGGGTTGTTACGCCGTGTAGTCTGGTAGAAGTTTCCCGACGTTTCAGAGGTCCTTGCTGCCTCCATCATCACGGCGACGATGAAGGCAGGAAGGCCCTCTGAAACGTTGGTAAACTTCTACCAGACTACACAGCCCTACAACCCAGACAGAAGACGGCCATCTTCGAACTCACCGTCGTGAGAATCTCAAATCCTACAAGCATTTACCAGAAAACAAGATCGAGCTAAATGTAGAGGACTATACATCTCGTCATCTTATCATTCTTGATTTAATCAAAACTTTATATTAGGCGAAGATCATAAAGTTACGGAAACAGTATTTAAGGCTACGTAGTCTACATGACAGGACGAATGCGCTTACCGGTAGACGGC